GCCGGTCAAAGGTCTTTATTTGAGATGATATGGCCACTACAAGCTCTTATTTGCGACAATTTGGTCACTTTATGCCCTTATTTGAGACCATATTCACTTCAGGCCCTTATTTGAGAAAATGACTCCACTTCGGTTCCCTTTTTTGGAGTTTTTCCTCAGCGATAACCTGGTTGGGCGGGCCGAGTCTGTTGGTGACCCGGTCGCTCATCTTTTATTGAAAGTCGTTTTAAATTCATTTAGGCTCCTTGTATTAGAAAAAATTAATGATTTGAAAAATGTTTTCCTAAAAGTGACCGTTTGTATTGTTTGAAATAGCTAATCGATAAAAATTATCTTCATTATTGCCAACAATTTATTTTTAAACATTTTCATAGATGATGAAAATATTTTTTTCGTTTGTTTCGTTTTATAAGCGATACAAGTGATATTTTTTAGAAAAATATTTTTCGGTGACGAAACAAACAATACCATTATATTCAATTGGTGAGCAGACATCAACATTATTATATTCAAAAACTGACATCCGGTGGGATCTGAAATGGCTCGGGTTAATTTATAATTATTGACCGTTGAATTTTCTATTGACCCCACGAAAACATATGGACTGGGATGAGTTGAATTAGGGCATACATCATATTGAATCGAAAGACCATTTGATTGTCTGGCCCATGGCAGTTTTATCCCCACATTAGCTGGTGGCTTACACCAGATTGGCCCATTCTAGTCCCAAGATCAAACGGGCAATTTTTATAGCCAAGAAAGGAGGATCTAAGTGGCAACTACTAATTATTATTTTTCTATTTTCTTATTACTATGACAACCAAGCCTTTATTAGGTAAGTAAACCATAGGTCTTTCTAGATTCACGCAAGAAAGATGCAAGTCAAAACCACAATCGGGCAGCTCATATCTGAAATTTGTAATTGGAAGTCTAGAGAACCAAAGGTAAGTCGTAAGCCTAACGCACACCTAAAATTCCATTCTCTAACAATTAAATAAAGACGAAGATCCTCTACGTCCCTACCCGAAGCCTTTGTTTTAGTGTCTCAATAAATCTACCAATGTTATGTTAGTGATAACAATCGCTGATTGTTCACATTAGCATGGAGAGTGCCTTGTAGACTAGTCAAACGAGTGAGTCAAGTCGAGTCGTAAATGGTCCTATCCAAATTAACTCATGCATCCGTAATGCAAATTTCTCGACTTACATCCGACCCAACTTATATTACTAAAACACTTCAATATTTAACACAATATAGGAAAACTTGTTTTTTTATGATTTTTTTAAAAAAATTATATTGCTAAAATATTTTTATGCAATATAAATCTAGTGGACAATTTTTACATTTTTTTTAAAAAATTGAATATATTTCTTTTTTCTTTTTCTTTATTTCTTTTCGGTCATCGGCTGACCCTTGCCTCTCACAGGCGAGGAGCAGTTGACCCTTGCCGACCACGGTAAGGTCTGGCGAACCGGCGAGGGCTTCACAGCCCTTGCCCGGGTCAGCGAGAGTCTCTCGGCCCTCGTCGTGACCAAGGAAAAGAAAGAAAGAAAAAAAAGAAAAAAGAAAATAAAAAATTATAAAAAATAAAAAAATGATAAGAATTGGCCTCACATCTCTAACTCCACCTGATAGTGAAAGCGCAAAGGCCTCTTAAATGCGATAAAGCTGGACTTACCGTTAACCAAAAATATAAGCCAACAAGTTTAGGATCAACTGAATATATTAATTGTTCTACATCACGACAGTTATCAGACGTGACACCATTTCCCTAAACATCAATGGTGGCAGGATAGGGTACGCTTGGCCCTCTACAAGACCTTGCAAGGTCTAGGCCATGCTCTAGCAAGGTTGCAGCCCCTTACCCACGGCGAGGCACGCGAGCCCTAGCCACCGCACAATGAAGGCCTGCGAGCCCTCTCCTGGATGGAGGAGGGCTAGCAACACTTTGCCGAAGCAAGGGTTCCAAACCTTCTAACATCTTACAATAAAAGATACTTCTAAATTTTTTTAAACACAGACAAAAAGAAATTAAATAAAGTTTCTTATTTTATCATCTAATTGGTTTTGCATGATCAAAGAAAAGATGATAGAGTAATTGCGCCATGAGATCATTCGCAGTTTCCATTAGAGATTGCCCAGAACAAAACAATAATTAATCTCAATGGTCATTGAACAATAAAATATCATATTCGAAGAAACTCCCTCCCTCCCTTCTCCTTGTTTTCAGGAAAGTTCAATTTGAAAAGTTCAAAATAAGTGGGAGACAGAGACTCGCTATAAACAAATTGGAGTCCTCTCCCATAGTTTATAGGGAGCAGGTGTTCAGTGGAGAATAAAGAGCGCTTGAGCCATAGCACTTTCCATACTTCATAAGTAAAGACGGACAATTATCTCATGAAATTTCAGTATCGACAACGGTTCAGATGGGAAGCTCACAGCAGAGGTACAAGTTAAAAAGTCGCCATCGTCTAGACAGACATCTTCAGCAACTCTCCCATTTCTCCATGTTATATTAAGAAGCATTGCTGACTCCAGGCCATAGCAGAGCTGACCGCAGTAATGCCTTCTGTTTATACGCTCTTTCTTGGTCTGAAATATCCTGAACTGCATAAAAGACGTTCGTTGTTCATCCTCTCGAGTCCTGGTCTATACTTTATCAAAAACTTTAGAGTTAGAAACAGTAAAATGAAATTTCGTAATCTGGGGTGGGTTAGCTTAGTTCTTTGTTATTTCCTAACACAAAACTCATGACCTTCCGGAAGCGTCAGTTTCCAAGAGAATTCAGCAATTTGCAAGATTCACCAGTCCAAGAAAGTAAACAAATTATACTGTCCATCCTCAAGTACTGTGTCTTCTAAGCTCTAGATGATTACGGTGCTGTGCAAGAAACTAAAACCTTCAGTTCAATAGGTTGAAAGACAGTCCCAGCTTGCGACGACAGTATTTTATTTCCAACCTCCCCATGAACCATTCTTGGAAAGAAGAAAAAGTCATACACGTGCATCGTTTGACGCCTCTAAAGAAAGGTTATTTATTTAGGTTTGTCCAACAAGAGAGTGCACAGCTACCCAGTATATGGTTATGAACTTTCGTGCCTGGTATGTTAAATCAAATTAAGTCTCCCAATTATAAATTAACAGGGTAAATCATCAACCTGAAATTTTCCTGGTGAAGATAGGTGTGCAAAGCCATAGCCTGTTGATTCAATATTTCTTCAGATGGGAAATTGTTAGAAGAAATAATGCGTGATTGACGACGCTGCGCTGAATTGATGCTGAAGAGTTGAAATGATGAAGAAAAAATAATCAAATGTTTGCAATAATTTGAGTTTACCATTTCCATATCAGATGAACATGAATTCTTTAAGCTGGAGAAATGGAAATCAGACCAACTTCCATGTCAACGCAGTTGTTGGGGAACGTGTTCTTGGACTCAAGAAGGAGAAGAAAAAGATGTAACCTTTGAAGACTCGGTAAGCTGCAGAGCAGTGGCCTTTGCTTTCGTCAGCAGCCAGAACTCGGGACTCCTAACCATTGCAAATTCAGTTTTTGGATCGAAGCCACTGATCAATGTTGATGTCTTTACAAAGGCTTTCCAAGTGGACAAAAACTGATCTAATCTCCAGACACAGAACTGGTTTGACAACCATTAGACAGATGTTCACAAGAGTAATTGTGTTTTTTCAGTACAATACAAAGAAGAATTCTTTTGAATAAGATACTGAGTTTTGGGTACTAGTACAATTGCTTGTTATCTGATATTGATAAGATTCCGCTGTTTTCTCTCTCTCTCTCTCTCTCTCTCGCTCTCTCTCTCTCTCTCTCTCAAATCCTTCAAGGGCTGAGATGAAAAACTAATTCAAGATCTCTTTCCATCCTGCTTGCTCCAGGTGTCTGACTAACTTCCCAAATGAGATATATTACTGGATCACTCCATACCAATCTCAAGTATCAGTGCGTGAATAATTTTTCCTTTATAGAATTGTTTTTTTTTGGTAAGGTTCCTTTATAGAATTGTTTTTTTTTTTTGATGACCCAGGGAACCCCGCACGGCCGACAGCCGGGAGGTAAACCCTGGGGGCGACACGTGCTAGCCACCACACACGTGCACCGGTTAAGTCACCCTGCGACACCTGGGATTCGAACACTCAACCTTTTGCTAGAGGAAGAGTGCGCGCTCCAGCAGCGCCACCCAGGCAGGTGGTTCCTTTATAGAATTGTTTAGCTCAAGTAAATTCATCATTCTGATATATAACTGCATCTTAAGTAATTTTCTGCCTTACTTTGGGTTTGTTAATTTGCTGTAAGGATTGAGAGTTTGTATAAGGCCAACCATGGAGTGGGGCCACCAAACATTAATCATCTCTTCATTCCATTATCAATAAATACTGGTTTGCCTGTTTCACTCAACTTTTTCAGCGCTAGAAGAGATGACACACGCGTAGAGTTCCTTCGAGAGGAAGAGAGAGTCTATATAGGATGCCTCTGGTTGGCCTCTGATAATGCTCAAAACTGGTGTTTGTACTTCGAGAGTCAAGATGCTTAAAAAATCATGAAATAGCCACTGTTATGGAATTATATATATGCTTGCTCCCTGTAACATTTAAATGTTAAGACAAAAGAATAGTGTTATCGAGGTTCTTCTTATGTAATATTCTAGCTTGGCCAAACTTCATATTTTTCTTTTGCGCGTTATTGCACCAGTATTTTCAGCAACCTCGACCAGCTAGCGAAGGCATGCACGTGGTTGTGGACAGGCAGTACTTGGAAACCTTTTAAAGCCAATGCAAGGATGTAAAGTTTAGCATAGACCACTTCCATACGAGATTATGTGAATAGTTTCAGCTGCAGAGGAGGAATTCAAACTAACTGCCACATGGTCGTAGTTGTTTTGGAATGACCGGTTCTTGGACTTTTAAAGATAAAGCTTCTGAATAAGACTTGGTAATCTGCAGTGCAACTTGTTCAGTAAACTAGAGAGAGATTCTTATGAGGAATGATCTTTTATTACTCTAACATTCATGATCAATTACATGTAGAGCAATTCTTTTATTGCGAAGCAATTATCAATCTCAGCAATCATGTATGTAGAATACAGGGGTAATCTGACATCTTGGAGGTCAATTTATCGATTTAGTTGTTGTCATACCAAAACTGCGCCTGAAGGTAGTCAACAACCTTCTTGTCCACTTGGAAGGCCTTGGTGAGAACGTCAGCCGAAATGGGTGGCTTCGATCCGAATACCGCATTAGCAATGGTAATGACTCCTGGGTTCTGGCTGCTCAGAGCAGCAAAGGCCAGTGCAGGGGTCTTTCCAATGTTCAGCTGGAAGTGGATGAGACCTATTGGGAACACAAACACATCCCCTTTGTACAACACTTTGGTGAAGAAGGTGTTGTTTAATTGGTTGGACGTGACGAAGCCGACAAGCAGTGTGCCCTCAGTGACAACCAGTATCTCGGTCCCACGAGGGTGAGTGTGGGGAGGGTTCAGGCCACCCGGAGCAAAGTCAATACGAGCCATGGAAATGCCAAGAGTGTTGAGTCCTGCAAATTGGTCGACGAAAGCGGGCGTGACTTTCGATCCGAGCGGGTTCACGGTATTACCTGGGTATCTGAACCCCTTAAAGAGAAAATCATCTGCTGTGACTTGTTTTGGGTCCTTGCAAAACTTCCCATTCACAAATACTGCATAAGAAACATAATTCTTATTGTTAGGCTTATCTAAGCGTAAACTCTTTTTGGGTAGTTTTTTTAGCATCAGTAGAACAGAAATATACGAATGACGCTAGAGCAGAGCTCCAACCTTCAGGGTCATTGATGGCCACACAGAAGTCCTGAAGAGGACTTGGGTCGAAGGCAAAAGCGGTGGCGGTTGCCAGAGCCAAGATGAGAAGGCTAGTTGGAAGAAACTTCATTGCAGTTGTGGACAGGAGAGTTAAGGCTCGGATATCTTCTTCTTCTTTTGTTTGCTTGAGCCTTGAGATAGGAGTGAGATGTCTTGCACGGACACATGATCCCTTTTTATAGATGAAAGTAGTGTTGACCTGGTATTATGTTTCTATGATAAGCAACACCTGACAGGTACCAAGTCTCCAGCGTGCTAGTCAATTTCTCATGTCCAGATTAGAATTGTTCCACAACTGCTACGTTGACACACCCATTACTTTTTTATTGGTCTGTATAACCCCCATTACTTTGACCTATCCTCTTTTCCACTAACCTAAAGTGGAAGTGGTCTTCTTCAATGGTAGTTAAATCTTCGGGATATGTTTATTAGAAGTCCTAAAAATTGTTATGAAAATACAATTTCGCCACGTCATTGCCATATATGATAGAGAAAATAATAAAAAGAGCCCCGTTTGACAACGCCTTCGCAGATCTATCAAGAGCAACTTAGGAACACCATCCTAAAACCCAATATGTCTATAATTCCAGTACAGGGTATGAGGCAGTCCCAAAAAAATGTAGTACAGTGAAAAATACAGATTACCACTCATTATGCGATTCAAAGAAAAACAGACATTGTGTTGAGAGCATTTTGTTAATGCACATTATAGAGGTTGATATGGCCGTGACAATGAAATATGCAAACCAGAAGACTAAGAGTCACAATCACAACAGTGGATGATGCTACCACATATTTTTATTGGTGCAGATGGAGAATAGAGAGTGCATGAGTTGTTAAAAAATGGTCCTGAGGGAAGGATAAAGATAAACTGTTCTCTGAATGGTTCAGTGTTTATGAAGGTCACCTTTGACTAGAGCAACAGAGATCCAGTCTAAGATATCAACCACCGTGTGAGCACTTTCAACAACTCTTCCCCTTCTTCTCCAATTGACTAGTCTGCTTTACAGGGGCCATGAGAATTTCTTAATCCAGTGATGAATCATTCCACAACTGCTTTGACGACACCTCGATCACGTTGAATTTCTCTGTTCCACATTAGAAATGTATGAATCGGATGTGGGAGTGATATTTTTCTGATAGTGTCTTTCGTTTTTTCTTTGTGCTTCACTGTTTCAACTGTCCAGGGTCGACTCTGCAGTGGGATTGTGCATCGATTTCTTCAGAAAAAGTATCATACCCTAAATAAATTGAATAATTCATTTGCGAGAAAATGCAGAAATAGGTGTTCCTAATACGTCTTCACCATGAAAGGACTTGCCTAGTTGGTGATTTGCTTCCAATTTTTCGGAATATCATGCCATTGTTACATAAAGTGTGCAGGATGTTCACACCATTTAGTCACTTGCTGTGCATTTGTGTTATGATAACATCGACAAGGATAAGAAGAGCAAGCATCTTAATATCAGAGAGGTAAAAGGCCGATTCCAGCCAAAAGTATGATCTGAAAACTAATGAGTATTCAAACTTCTGTATATGGATAATACTCCCCAAGAAGAAAACTCAAGATTACTAGTAATTAAAAATTCGATATGTAGAAGGTAAGAAACCAGGGAACAAAGACTCACTCTTACTGAATTGAAGTCTTAAAATGGTTAGCATAAATCTATCATGACAATTACAATTAGAAAGTTGCCTTCCTCTACCCATCTTTAACAACTCTCACACTTCTCTGAGAAAATCTGCGTAGGAGTTTTGAGGTTAGAAACAATAGACGGATATTTGGCTGTGTCAATAATCAACGACGGGAATTGGACGAAATCACGACAAAAGGCTATTTTTGTCATACTGGCTAAAGTTTATGTTTTTATTTGGTACATTTGAAAGGTTGGGTTATTTTTGTCGGACGGGACAAAGTTTATGTTTTTCTTTGGCTATTTGGCCTAGAAATGTTCGGCGGAGATTCGGGACCCGGTGCTGCATAGGCGGTTGTTTTTGACTGTCGAACGTATGGTTGGTTTAGATTAAAAGCTGGATATGTGTTCATCTTGTCTTTAGAATAGTAGAAGATTTGAGGTTGCTTGGGATGTGTTGAACTGAAGGAGACAACGAAATCGATGTTGGTGGTGCTTTTCGTTTCATCTCTTATCCCTTTGAGCGAAGAGAAAGCAACAGAATTTGATAACTAAAGTCTAGCCCCCTTTTGATTTTGGTCAGCGTCGATAATATGGGCAGATTATGATAATAACGTTTGATTCGAAATTGAAAATTAAGTCTTTGTGATTTTTGGACAAAAATCCCTTGACTAGTTGGAAGATTTGGCCAGTCGGCGAAGTTAGATCCTTCTTTGAAACTGGCATGGTCACTTCAGACCCCTATTTAAAACAAGATCCACTATTGACCATCTTTTGAGAAAATGATGACATTTCGGCTCTGTTAGTTTCGCGGAAAATGTTACGTTTCTGGAAAATGTTTTCCAGGAAGTCATTTTCTTGGAAAATGACATAATTTTCCGATATTCGGCTGAAATTTGAAAAAGTTTCGGAAAATATTTTCTGTTGTTCGGTATGGAAAAAATTTTCTTCCTTGCACTACTTTTAATAATTTTTTATTTTTATTTTTAAAAAATATTTTTTTCTTTTTTTTTTCTTTTTTTTTCCTTCTTCTTCTTCCTCAGCCAGTTGCCAGCCACAGTGGCGACCGGCAACCGGCCAGGTCGAGCCTCGCCGACCTATGGCAAGGCTCCGGCTCGCCTAATCCGGCGCGGCCGAGCTCGCCCAAGGCCGGTAGGGAGAGCTCGGGCCTCGCCGGATCCGGCGAGCTGGGTGAGGCCGTGTCGGATCAGGCAAGCTCGCCGGATCATCGGCCAGATTCGGTGAGGCCCAAGCTCACCCTACCAACCTTTGCCGTGCTCGGCCAAGCCGGATTAGGCGAGCCAGAGCATTGCCACAGGCCGGCGAGGCTCGAGCTCAGTGGATCGAGCCTTGCCGGCCTGTGGCGAAGCTCGACTTTGCTGGTCGCCTGTCGTCGCCGTGGCCGGCGACCGGCTGAGGAAGAAGAAGAAGAAGGAAACAAAAAAGAAAAACAAAATGAAAAAAATGAAAGGTGAAAGAAGGAGGAGGGGGGAAATGTTTTCCTCTTCTCAAAAAGAGAAAATCATTTTCCTCAAAAGTGAAGGTGTTTTGCTCATTTGGGAGGAAAATTTTTTCCGCAGGACGTTATTTTTCGTGAAACGAACAGCAGAAAACATGGAAAACTTTTTCCCGGAAGTTATTTTCTATGAAACAAACGGAGCCTTCATGCCCTTATTTGAAATTTTTCCTCAATTTTATAAATTAATTTGTATATTAGTAAGTGTCACGTGTAATAAAGTTGTCAATGGCGCATGGTCGCCTCCATTTGGCACAATGTCTTCAATAGCATGCACATGTATCATGTCACAGGGCGCAACCACATCTATGCTACTTGACTCTAGATGACGAGGGAAGAGAAATAATATCACATGTTTGATACAAAACGGAGAATTTGAATGTCTCGTGGATGAGTTTTAAAGTTCGAGCTATTTTTAACAAGAGATGCAATGTTTAAGATTGTTAGGACATATGAACAGAACAAAATCTTTGAACTTTGCCAAAAAGAAAAGGCAAAATTCTCAAGTTTAGTTTACTTGCTGCCTAATTCCTAAATACAGGATAATAACAAAAATGGTTCTTGAACTTTAACCTAATGTAAAATGTCGTCTATGAACTTTTAATTTGTTTAATGTGGTCCCTAAAGTTTTGCCGAGTGTGCAATATCCCTGAATTCTAGTCTAATGTGTAATGTCGTCTCTGCATTTTTAATTTGTTCAATGTAGTCGCTGAACTTTTGGTAAATATTCAAACTAATCCCTAAACTATATGAAAATAGCCAATGTTGTCATTCCATTAATTCAAGTTCATGGACGACATTGAACATTTTTCATATAGTTCATGGACTAAATTGAATTTGTATTAAAATTTTAGGGACTACATTGTACAGATTAAAAATTTAGGAACGATATTGTACATTGGATTAAAGTTCCTGTATCATGTTGAATAAATTAAAAGTTTGAAGATGACAATTCTCCAAAAAGGGCAGGGATGCTCATTTTCCCATTGTCTCAATTAGGGAGAACCAAAAGGAACGGTTCAAAATGTAAAATCCAATCGAGTCAAACCATTTTTTTTTTTTTGCAACTTTTAGGTTCGAGAGTACATTTTCGAGAAATAAAAAAAGAAGAAAACAATTCTCAAACTAAACCGTTTTTGGCAATTTGATTAGGTAGAGCTGTTCATTTTGTGCGCTGCTCCAATATAATTATTACTTATGAGTTTTTGCTCCTCTCTCAAACAAAGTGGAAATTATTATGCTAAAGCTATCTGCTTGTTGATTAGGCTATAAGTATTACTACAATATTTATGAAAAATAAATGCTAAACTGTTTGACAAAACCTTCGGATCCTCTCGAACACTTAACTCAATTTTTCATTTCATGACATATATATCACATATAAACTATTTATAACTCAACCGTGTTTTTCACATGAGTATGTCATGATTACAGAAATATAAATCGAGCAAATTTATCTCATCTAAATTGACAAATCTCAATCTTTTTGCAAGCTAGGGAGAGAATGCAAAATTGTTATGGTCAATGATTAGTATAATGCTGAGTGGAAAGAAATATATTGTTCTTAGCACAGTCTTTAGAGAAATTCCAGGGATGAAATACTATTTGTTGTGCTTAAGTTCAAACCTGCTTAATTTCCATCTTGACCATGAGTCAGGGGTGTCCATAATATCCGGATCGAATCAAACCGAACCGAACCAAACCGAAATTTTCGGTTCTCGACCATGATGACGTACAATACATATATAGCACACACAAACATTTTGACATCAAGCAACATATTGAAGACAATCTCTCTAACCTTACGGAAGCTATAATAATGCACTCAACTACGAGCCTCGTGCACAGTTTTTGTTTGAATTTTGTGAAGCAACCACGAGAAACAACCCTGTGAGATCTTCTCTTCATCATCAATGGTTGCTCTTCCATCTTCATATCCTCCTTGTTTCTTCTTCTTCTTCATCTTCTCCTTGTGC